TTATTAGCGAGTTCAACATGGGAAACTTCAACATGGCCGCCATCTATTCAAATGGGGGTAACCGCTGGAATATTCTTGGCTTCAATTTTACTATAAAAGAGATGTGCTATCTAGTGCAGCCTCGTACCCAGGCTCTTTCGTAATTAATAGCGTTCAGAGCTCTGGCCCCGCGCGCCTAGTTGCTCACCCAGAGCTCTGAACGCTATTAATTACGAAAGAGCCTGGGTACGAGGCTGTATCTAGTGTGTATAAGATATCTATGCGGTACACAGTGCACCGCGACATGAAATTTAGAGCTATATGAAAGTTGCATGCCCATGTATCATGGAGAGTTTTAAGAAGTTGTTTATGTGGTCTCGCTTACCCGGGATGCAATTTGAAAGCGGGACATAATTTAAAATATTTTCGGCAAAGGTGCGGCACTTACTCAAGAGCGGCGCTTATTCGGTGAGCGGCGTTTAATCAATCATCTACAGTAAACAACACTTTAAATTCTTCACAGAAGCAAAATAGCTCTATTTTGAGACTTGATTGTTCAGCCTGGGCATAGCCGGATTTTGGGGGGGGGGGGGGGGGGGGGGGGCGCACCTCCCCTCAAATCGTTTTGCACCTCCCCTGAAAAGTCATGCACTTCCTCTTAGGAATGTTTCAATGGCCGATCAAAGTGAAAATTTGACATTTTGTGGTTGCTTAGAGCCTTAGGGTCTACACTTTGAAAGAAAGGTTTTCTGTAAAATTGAAACAGTGATAGCCATTCATCTCTGTCTCAAAATATATAATTTTAATGCAATATTTTAAAAGAAACTTTGTCCGATACAGTCAAGATATAACAATATTGTTACAACCTTGTGTCTTCAATCTTGTAATATTCTTGTTGTATCATGATTGTATCAGACTTGTTAGAAATTAAGAACAACTGTGCTACAAGTCTGATAATGCCATCAAGCTTGTTACAAGTTGTTAACAGCTTGTTTCAAACTTTTTGCAACAACTTGGAACAAGCAGTGCGAACACAACTTGTCGACAGCTTGTGAACAGATTTGTAACAACTTGTTTGCAGAGAAAATCAAAGTTAAAGTTTATGTAAATCATGATTATTCAATCTGCTTGAGACACGTCTACATAACAAGAAAAAAATATTTCTCATTATGTAAACACATCTCAAGTGGATTGAATCTCCCCAAATCAATTACACATTGTAGTAATGGTAAGAGATCTTATTTCTCAATTTAATACAGTATTTTAGCATTTTTTGATAATACGTATTCTGGCATACTGAAGCTAATATAAAAATACAAATATATCCCGACCGCATGAAAGCTTGGGATGTTGTGGTCTAAAAGTTCATTGTTGTGCAAGTATCTGGTCGTTTCGTCTCCTTGCTGTTTCTTCCAAGCTTGTTTCGTCTCCTTTATGTTTCATCCCCACACTAGATACTGTTCTCTATAAACTACTTTATCTTACATTTTCATGAACTATATACATAAGATATATTTATTTTCGTGTCTACTTTTATGAGATTGTATCTCAGTGGTTGTATATGCTGGATATAATACACATTTTTGTATTTAAATTCTGAAACTTTGAAATGTAACTCAAATATTTGGCTTTTATTTCACAATAACACTGTTGTCAGTGACTATTATAGTGATACTTCACTTTAGTTTATTTTAACAGGAACTGAGGGAAACTAGACCAATGACTGCGAATGGCAATGATCGGTTTAGACATCAGACAGGAACGAAGTCAAACAGGGACCGTTTCGTTTCGGTCATAGTATTATTTATGGCAGTGGCATGATGACAAAATCATGAGTGATCAAAGTAGAAACAAATATAAATATATCTTATGTATATATAGTTCATAAAAAGTAAGATAAAGTAGTTTACAGATAAAACGGTATTTAGTGTGGGGACGAAACATATAAAGGGGACGATTTCAATGGAGAGGGGACGAAACGGCAAGGGGACAAAACGACCATAAAACGTTGAGCGATCAATCGAAAAAGTTACCCTCATTCGGCAATATTTGGAAGGTTTTAACTGGACGATATGAACGAACAGGCCCTAGTGGACTTTATAACATAATAAAACTCTTACCTTTTCCGCTTTTCGTTTACACACGCTGATATTCTGCTTTCACTTCGGGATAAAACCTTGTTTTCCAAAAGAAAGTTACAGAAGTACTCGCATGACATTCAACATGACATTCGATATGGTGTGAACTCACTCATTTCAATCACTCAGAAGTAAAAATGAAAAATATATAGCCATTTCTTCTATAATCAGGGCATTTTAAGATTAAATTGCAACTACTGGGGCCAAGTCTCAATAAGGGCCTTTTCCCCGCACAGTTATGCCTATAATTTTTCGTAATTTTCTCTAAATTTTAGCTACAATTATTAGTTTTTAATCAGTGCCACTCAAATATTTTACTTTCTTTCCTTCCTATCCAACTGGGATTAGATAATTTTCCGTCTATTGCCGACTACCTGGGGGTGTTCAAACATCAGAACAGCAAGAACTCGCTGACTCGTGCTGTTCTGGTAAGAGAAGTTCATCCACTTTGCAAACCCCATAGCCAGGCAAACACCTGTTTCTGGTTATTCTTGTCATGAAAGAAAACGAGAGAACCAGAGTCACCGCCTTCCAAGAATGGACCACTACATCCCTTAACGGCGAATGCATCCTGAAATAAATGGCTCCTGTTCTTGGCTTTAACTAAAATCACAAGGAACAATATAGCCACGGGTTAACGCCGATGAAAAACCGGTTTTCTCCACTTCCACTGGATTACTATCACTCTCATACAATTCATCCCATATACTATCCCAATCAGGAGAAGTTGTATCCGCTATTTTGCAATCAATTTTAACGCCATGCAAAACTTTTAGAGACAAAATGCATTCGTTGTCAAAATGATAATTGTCAAAACCACCAAGACGCGTGCAGTCTGTTCCATCGTCTCCAAATAAGATGGGCTTATTGTCGTTCTCTGTATTGCCTTGTGTAAAATAATATTGCTGTTTCTTTGCATAACTTTCATAAGCTTGAAGTGAATTGCGCATCATCTGAACATCTTCTACTTTATTGAATGCGGCGTTTAAACGGTTTTCATCAGTTGCACAACCAACATGAAAGCAGGCGAGTGCATAATGTTGTCCATTGAGGGCGCAAAACATGGTTAAAATCCCAGTTCCCTGGACCTGAGGTACATCAACTTTCTCGTTTATTTCAGGCACTCGTAAAGGGTTTTATTGGTATAACTGGGGTTACTGCAAGCTAATACACCACCACCAGGCGCTGGTGTGACAGAAGATGATTTACATCTCAATTTACTCAAATGGAGACCCAAATATTTAATTTTTGGTTTTCTTTCAGGTTCTCGAAGGAGTTCAAAGTGTTCCTTAGCGTCGTCACACTTGAATTTCTCTTCAAGTTCACATCGTACAAACGATATCTTCACTCCTCTTTTAACTGTGAGGTACAAATGCGGACGAGGGATCTTTTTGTTTCGACCAACCAGCCCATACGCTCCACCAGTGGCGAAGCTAGAGGTCGTGCTGGTCGTGCTGAGCACGAGTAAATTTTTTTCAAAGAAATTAATTTTTTAGTCTTAAAAAAAATTCCCCCAAAATTTTAAAAATGATTCATCGTACACTTGCGTCATCTATTAAGTGCGAAATCCTTTCAAATCCGGTGATTTTGCCCTGATTTTAAACCAATTCAAGGTATGATTGCGTAGTTTCACCCGACCGCGGGTTAATAGCACGACTAATGGGTAATCCGCCCGTTAGTCGTGCTCTCGTCAGGCCAGCACGACTAAATTATAAATTCCAAAGCATTCTATTGGCTAAATTGGTCCTCGCGCATGCGTATCTCGCCGAATTTTATCTTCTGGTCGTGCTCATCTTCGAAAGCACGACCAAGTTCGACCAAGTTAAATGCCGTAAATTATTCAGCAATTCTGTCGAGATTTATTCAAGTGATCTTGGTTATGATCTATGGAAATTGACCAACATCAATCGAGTGAATAGTAGGAAGGCCATGTTGATTTGGATAGAATATTTCTGGCTTCTAACAAGATATTTTAGCTCACGAAATGCATGTGAACAGACTCGATAATTGTGTATTCTACTGTATTATAATGGCGAATATAAACAAGATTTGTGAATACCTTTCCTATTGATATAAATATATTAACTACCAGTTCATTTGCTTTATTCAAAAGTGCTTATATAATTGGAGGTTTACAGATATACCAAATATCTAAACAGTGTATCTTTCAACATTAGGTTTCTGCTTTAGGTTTACAAGGTCCTTGTAGACACTATACTATAGTACATTACAGTTGACCTTTACGCAATTCCAAATGAAAGATCATATTACAGCACTCAGCAGGGTATTAAAATGTACACAGTCATACAATATTCTCCTCTTTCTTCTGCCAATATTGAGCGACATTTGCAGATAAGTTTAAATATATAGTGAAATAAAATTAAATTTTGTGGAAATACAAATTTCAAAAACAAGAAGTATTAAGAATTTTCCTCTTTATATCACACTTTTTTTGTAGCTTTCTTTGCATGAATTTCACCCTGAAATCGCAGGAAATGGCCATTCCAGACTTTGAAAATCAAAATTTTCCCGGGGGTGCATGCCCCCGGACCCCCTAGCCTGTGCGGGTCTTAGAGCACGACTAGTCGAATTCCCTCAGCTTCGCCACTGCGCTCCACACAACCAAGGAAAACTATACAGTGACAATGCCATATTAATAATGCAAAAACAGCCACCAAAAATTCAATTCATAGTTCTAGATTCATAAAAAACAATACCATTGCTCCAAACATTTATTCATTTCACAAAGTAAGTATGTTAGGGACGTGCAAGGCTGCATATATTATTTTGAACAGTCTTTGTCAGTGTAGATAGTAGCAATAATAACAAAACTTGGGTTGATAGGGATACAACTACCTGAAAAATACAAGGAGAATTTCGACGTTTTGAGTGAAGGCTCAATAATTGAATCATTGCGTAGAATTCGTGGTCATATCAGGGAATGTCACTAGTATAACAGAAAAGCGTTTAGAAGTATTATAAAAACTACCATCTGAGAATTAAATTGTATCTGAATTAATTAAAAACGTGGAATTTACCTCATTGGTTGTTAAAGAGCGATTAGATTCTGTAAACAAGCTTTCGTTCATGATAGGGATTCAACAACCTGAAAAATATAAGGAAAATTTCGACGTTTCGAGCGAAGGCACTACGTCGGGAGTTTGGCTAGTAACTCCAGACCAAGGCTTCGCTGGAAACGTCGAAATTTTCCTTATATTTTTCAGGTAGTTGCATCGCTACCAACGAAAGCTTGTTCATATTATTGCCACTACCTACACTGGCACAGATACTTCAAGATTAGATTCTGTGGTTTTCTGATGGATGTGAATGAGTAGATGAGTTATGAATGTTCTGAGTATATGTACCACTGAGCTCTACTATATATATCTGGAGACCGTGCTCGCAAATCAAAAGTGTCCGCAAAAACATGGCGGATTTCGAGCTCCACGTCCACTATTCTCATGGTACGTTAACTGACCACAGCTCAAATGCGTGCGGGCGACATTTCCCACTCCCCCCTGACCACAGAGCCACTGATCTTTATAATTTTTAAAAAAGGAGTACATTGGAGAAGATTTGAAATTAGTAAATATTTATAGTTACATATAGGTGTAAAAGGTTTCTTCTGAACTTTACCAACTACTATCAAGTTCAAGCTGGATCATTAATTCATTCGAGCGACTATCTCCACAATTTCTGCTGTGAAATGTATAAATGATGATCCAAACAGATAATATAAATGAGCTGAACGAATGGTGGTATTTTTGCCCATGTCGCATGTATGCTTTTGGAGTATCGGTAGGTGCAGACGTACAGTATTTTGTGTGGAGCCGTAGAAAATGAGTAATAAATTACTAAATTAACGAGAAATTGAAATAATTGTCATGATGGGAAACAAACTTTTGAAATTTCGAGGACTATGGTGATTCTGTTTCCATATGTTAATAAACAACAAAAGCTGAAAAGCCCTACAGGTGAGGCATTTTTCAAAATTTTAATGAAACACTTGTACTGTACCATACATTCATTTATTGAAATATACTATAATTTATTACTATTGTATAATATTTCAACTCGATTACTACTTGTATATAATGCACATATCAATGGCCTGGCCCTGGGGGTACACCCCCGGGACTTTGCAAAAACATGATTCTAATGCATTAATTCCCCCTCCCTCCCCCAGGAAATGTGTAAGTCAAACTGCCCTCCCCCTGGGCTTACAATAAAGTAGTTCATAATATAAATAGCATACAAACAATTAAAAATTATTATACAAACTGGGGTATCACAATGGCACTCATGTATTCCGTATTTATTTATTCAAATTTTAGCAAGACCACTACAAAATATCATAAATAATAAGTTGCCTATCAATATTTTTCTGTGTGAGCCTGTGATTTTGAGTTCACACCAATCATGTACTTCATTTATAAAATTCAAATTGTCACGTCAAAGTCCCCTACTTCCCCTCCCCCCATCGTCCTATTATTGCGAAGTTTGTAAGGGAGTGGTCATTATTTATGGGAGGGGGGAAATGGGAGGGGGGGGACAAAGTTTTACCCTTATAAATAGGGGGGGTCAAAAAAGTTTTAACACAGAGAAAGGGGAGGGGGGTCATAAAAGTTTTTGAACTTAAATACCATGTCTAGAGTTCTGATTTCTATAATCACAAATAGCAAAAAAGAAGACTCTGAAAATGCTATTTCCAACAATCTAGATACTCAAAATTTCCCTGCTCTGGGGTGGACATCTACAAAAAGGGATCATACTATATTGAGTGCGGAGAGATGACAGATGGTTGTTGGTGACAAAATGTTTGGTGTGGTATTGTATGTACTAGTAGGGAGTCCGGGGATTCTCCCCCAGAAAATGTTTTGTATTTTTCCACCCCTAGAACTGAAATGTAAGCATTTTCTGAAACAGATTTTTGGATATACAACGTTACATTGTGTGTTGATAGACCGAATCTGATCAGTTAAGTGTATTTGCATGGTATGTTTATGTAAATACCACAACTGTGTCACTCAGGGGGTAGCAAGCTTGTTAAACTTAGTGTGCCCGACTCCCATGATTGCGAGGCACTACCATGGTTGGTGCCCAGACAAGTTCTTAAAAAAAACGCTGTGTTCAAATCATTTTGCTGTATGAAGACGGGTCATGGGTTAGGGTTATGGTGGGACAAATGTTGCATTGCAAAGTAGTAACACATAATATATATTTTTAATCACATATGGTTGAATCATATTCACCAGGGTAAAACATCATGAGCTATATTAAACAGATTGTCCTAATATCTAACTTTACATGCAATGCACACCTGTTTCATTGCTGTTAATTTTTCAATCCACACTGGGGGGTGGGAGGGAGGCAAAAAAGTTTGCCTTCAGCTGGAGGGGGGTCAAAAAAGTTTCCAATCCTTATTTTCCCCATTTCCCAACACCCCCCCTCCCCATAAATAATGACCACTCCCTAATCTCCCCGGGGTTCACAGGCAGAACACACAGATAAAATACCAAATTCCCCCTCGTTTCCCCCCAGTTGTCCCAGGGTGTACCCCCCGGGCAGGCTGTTGATATGTGCATAATTCTCTTTCAAATTGTATAAAAAGTATGTTGTTCCTTTTGCATTTCTACTATACATATAATTTTAATGTATAAATTTGTGAACACAGCCATGCTTTGTTGAAACGAAACTTATGTCGGTTTATGCATGTATCATCTAAATATTTACTGCTGTTTGTATTTTTCAGATTATGGAAACTGCACATTGTTGATCATGTCTACTCACAATGTACTCTGTGCACATTATGGGGAAAGTAAATCTGCACTAATAAATACCCAAATGTATATGGCTCTACGTTTGTCACTGGAATCATTGTTATATTCGATGGCAATTCATGGCAATAGAATCATATTGTTTGACCAGGCAAAAGATTAGTTAATTAAGGATCTAGCACACCAAACAATAATTATATATTATTTTATTAAACATATTCTTATGTGCATTATTAATTTTCATTACAAATTAGATTTATTCAACATTTAAAAAGTTTAATTTAAAAATATATACAATATTATTATATTACTATTACAGGCCATCAATAAGTATTCTTGGTTTCATACCCATGTTTTATTTTGTTAATTCCATAAGGGTATTCTCGGGTTGTCCCAAATGATACAAGTGAAACACGCACATAGCTATCGCTTTTAATAAAAGAGTACTTGATGTCATATTTTCTTCAATATATTTTATTGAAGCTATGCTGGCTATAATTAGCTGATATTTCCAGTGGTGGCACCAGCAGTGGGGACATCCCCCCCTAAAATATTTTTCAAACCAAGAATATTTATTAATGGCCTGATAAATAAATTAAAATTAACACACAACACTCACACAACATTCACACATTATATGTATATACTTGTTACTTAGTGAATTTAATATCATGGCAATTGTGCCAATTATGTTGTTCTTAAACAACTGTCTGAGTGGGTTTTTGCTCTATTTGGGCACACAATTTTTGTATGCCCTCTTTTAAAATACATCCAGCATACCATTCCTAGTAAATGTACAATACATTTTAATATAGAGGGGCCACAAAAAATTTTTGACCAGTGAAGGCGGGGGGGGGCAGAAAATATTTTGAACATAAAGGGGGGGGGAATAAAATCTATAGTTTGTAACATGCAATATCAAAAGAGTGATGGATATATACAGTATACATACATTGAACAGTAATGCCCAATATATTGAACCTAAAAGTTGTGTTCTAGGCACTGTATATGGAAATTGTCATCCTCATCATCACCAAAGAATTTGTCTAAAGGGTCATGCACTGCATTTGCAAATGCAAGATTCAGTTGACAGTTGTTGTCCTGCTTTTAACACAGTGGACCTCTTTTGTATGTTCTGTTTCTTCATGTTGTTGACAGTCGCTTCTGCCATCTCTTCAATATACAGTAATGCTTCCACCAGACACAAATGTATTTTTTTCAATTAGTAAAAGTAGGTCTGATTTGTGTTTTTTTTTTGTTTGAGGACCAACAACTTTTCAGGTATAAAGTCTGAATTATCTAGTACTTGGCTATCATTTTCAATATTCTTTATTTTCAATATTTACAATATTCTTTACATCTGCAAGTAAACTGAGTATGAGGGCAGGAAAAATGGTTACGAAACTGACTGAGAGTAATTGAATTCAGAATTGGGGTGGAGGGGGGGGGGGATAAAATAGTTTGTTAGAAAAATAAGGGGTCATGAAAAATTTTTGCTATTCATAAAAATTTCGTCCAGCCCCCTACCCGGCATTAATAATGACTTGTCCCTTAGCAAAGAATGTAACTCATGCACACTGTTACATATAACACTTTAAATCGCACCAATGACCTGAGCAAACCTTTGTGCAACTATTGTTGGTATTAGCATCCGGTCTCAATACTAATTTCTGGCTTTTCCCCTTTATCTCATACATATCAGCACTAAAGTGATCTGAACACAAACGACTACTTTTCGCAGGAACAGACTTCACTGTCGCATGTTTATTCATATACTCATCCCATATGCTGTACAACTCTGGATGCTTCTTTGCATCAGGAATGCTTAAATATGTGAAGGGAAAAAATTCAATAACAATATGCTTTCATAAATACAAACAGGCCTATAAAATACACTGTACAGTAGGTAGGAAAAACGCACACGAGAACATCACAAGGAACAATGGAAATATAATATTTGAATGAAACAAACTGCATGCAAAAACCTCAGAAAAGAAGCCACAGTCGAGAAAAGCTGGTGACACATGCACGTGAACAAAACATAAACTACCGTTTGCTTTACATTGTCATTTGCAGAAAAAACTTCTCGAATGATATCTAAGCACAAAATAATATTTCCTTACCAGTGTGAATACAGTCCGTCTTTGTCAAAGGAGTTGTGACAACCATAAACCGAGCAATATTAACGCGGCATGTTGACAAAATATAAAGTTGTGAAACTTGATAGTTTAATAATTTCACAGTGTATACTTTTTGCATCCAGGGGGGTGCGAAAACAGGTGGCTTTCAAAAATATTATGTGGTCAGTGGTAAATCGCCCGAAAAAAGTGGACGCGGAGCTCGAAATCCGCCATGTTTTTGCGGACACTTTTTTGTTTGACGAGATATGGGAGCACGGTCTCCAGATATATATAGTAGAGCTCAGTGATATGTACCCTCATCTCAACATTCATATCCACTCGTTCACATCCATCAGAAGAAGAAAATCGCACTTAAAATCGCAGCAAAAATTTGCGAATCTAAAAGGGGCCTTTAGGAATCGAAATTCACCAAATGTGTATAATTTCTGAAATGCCAATAGTTTAGTTTTACCGCGCGAAATTCAAAAGTTTAATAGCTTTTGCGCGCGAAATTCAAAAGGTTAAAACGCATTTTGAGTTCATAGGTGAGAACATTGTTGCGTGTTTTATTAAGGTCCAAATATCAGAAAATTCGCTCAATTTTAAGTCCTTCAAATAGCTGCTGAAATTTTCATTTTTTGGCACCAATGCCTTTCACGCATGCATAATTCATGCATTTACCTAATTTGCATTTTGAGATTGTAAAAACATTATGGACCATTAATAAAACACATAACAAATTTTTCGCCCATGAACTCAAAATGCATTTCAACCTTTTAAATTTTGCGCGCAAGCTATTTTTAATGCTGCTAAAAAAGACACCCCCTGCTCTGGAAAATTTATCTTTACGAAATTGTTTTGTTTATTCTACATTATAAGTACCCAAACAATCTATATTTATAAAAAATTTCATGACACGAACAGATTTGTGAAATTGAGAGCCGTTTCAAGATTGTCTACTTTTTTTCTGATACACCTGTAGATAGAAAGATAGATGGTTTATTTATTTACATAAAAACATTACAGCCAAATAGGCTGAATTACGCTTATATTTACAAGTTAAGAAAATATTAAAATACTATACACTAACTGTCCCTAAAAGGAAGAATATTAATCTAAGAATATTAATCTAAGAAAATTAAAATACTATACACTAACTGTCCCTAAAAGGAAGAATATTAATCTAAGAATATTAATCTAAGAATATTAAAATACTATACACTAACTCTCTCTAAAAGGATCTAAGAATATTTACATATTAGTGGTAGTAGTTAATCAATTTTATAATTAGCTGCAATTGCTGTTAATCATATAGAAGTCATAAAGTTATTTTAGACAAAACTAAATGATTTTTGCAAATTAAATGGATTATTACCATTTAGCAAAAGGAATAGAAAAATTACAGAATTAACTTACTAAAATACCAATTAATATCCTAAATTACCATGTTATTTATCTGTCTGTACAAAAACATGAGCTTTTATTTGGCCGTTATATTTGGAATAGACAAAATGTTATTAAATTTGTACACTTATTATTTATAGAAATATATATTTGGAATAGACAAAATGTTATTTAATTTGTACAGTAGTGTTGTTGAGATCACTGTGGTTTGCTCAATTTAATAGTAATACCGCATCCATGACAAACAGACAAACTCTCCCATTTTTCAATCTCGATAACAACGTCAACCCTTTTCATGGTATCTTCAAGAATCTTCTTAAGAGCCCCCACATTATTTTCTTGATTTGATGATCCCCACTTACCGAGTACTTCTTTGGCAATCCCCAATCCTCCCTCTCTTTCATATTTCTTTTCAATACCTGCAGCCGTTGTTTGGTCGAAGCAACCTAAAGCGTTCATAAGTGGTTCGTTGCTTAGATAAGCTAAGTCGAGTAGATTGCAAATTTTGTAAAAACAACCATTTTCGATTTTACCAATGGGCCATTTGTCCCGGTCACTTGAAAGCTGTGTTTCGTGTTTTGAAGCACAAGATCTACACATTTTGACTGGCCGTGGGGACCCGCTTGATGATCTTCCTGGCTTCTTTCTTTTCTGTGTCGAATTTTATAAACTATTTTGAAACGCACAAACATAGCACGATGACCCGAAATAACGGATACAAAGCTAAACTGCCAAAAATCCGGTTAGAATATAGCAGAGGATCGTTTTACTACATGGGAGCGAAACTTTATAACAATCTGCCCCTGGATACACGTAAAACTGAAGATTTTAACTCTTTTAATAAGCTCTTAGAAGAAAACTTTTAACATTTTTAACATTTTTACCTTTTATAACTATATGATAATATGTATCTATACATATGTAAACTTCTAATGATTGAATTCCTGTATTTCTAGTATATTTTAAACTTATATAGTGACAGGACCCACATTGATAACAGTTCTTTATTGAACTGACGTGAACATCCTGTATAAATATTCGTTTAATAAAAATAAAATTTTTGTGAACAAATGGTGTCTATAATAAAAGACAAGATAGAATTTTCTTCAGAAATTTTTTCATTTTTCATTTCAAAAGGTTGGTAAACCAGGAAACATTGTTTCCAAGCCATGTTTCCCGAAGGTGGGTAAACCATGAAACATTGTTTTCTAGCCATGTTTCCCGAAGGTAGGCGAACCAGGAAACAATGTCTGCTACAGCATTCTTCTCGAAAGTAGACAAACAAGAAACAGTTTTTCCGCTAAAAAATCACATGTAGAAACAAAATATGTTTCTGAATTTATTGGAAAATATGTTTGCTTCGTGAGAACTGTTTCCAAAGCTGGACAAACAGCGAAAACTTCAAGAAAACTTCAAGATTTCCAAATGTTTCCTAATTTGCCTACGGGCTATTGCCTCTTAATAAACATAACTATATGATGGCACGTGTAGTTAACCAACTATTGCAAGAGCCGGAATAACCAGAGGCGAAACAAATGACAACTTAAGTTTGTTAAGGCCTGATTCAACGACGGCGAAATTCTTCGCGAGAAATTGTGTCTTCGAAATACGGATGGTACGGATGATTGCACATGAGCGATTCCATTGAATTTTCCCACTTTTTCCGCTTTCGCAGTGACTAGAACTGACTTCTATACCCACTGATGAACCGAAATTTTTTCTCACGAAGCCCAAATTTATCTTTACTGCGCATGCACCTAATTCATTTCGACGAAGAAAGTGCCCGTGGAATCAGGCGTTTAGAGCCACGACAAACCATAGCGCACATGTCATAAGTATGTCAGGCGTATAAAAACTACATTCACGGAAACATAAAAATATTAAAAAGGATTACCTGCAACTGGCTCTCGCTCTTTTAACGAAGAGTTTCAGATTAAGTTTTACATTAAATCAAAGCTCACAGAATGCAAAACAACATACCTACATTGTATATTTCGGAAATTCATTGTTGTATACATTAGTAAAAAGTACCAAATTTTCAAATATTTTTATCATTTTATGGCCAATGTCTAATACTTCATGTTAAAATAGTTAAAACCATGTTTGGAAAATATAGGCTGCTGCACAGAGTACCACATACAGAGATCTCACTTCTGCTGGAAAACCGCAAGGTAGGTTTTACCGAAATAGCTGGCGGCCATGTTCTTAGCAAGTACGCTAAAGAGAGGTATTCACCCCCCCCCCCTGGAACATTAAATTTCAATATGTTTTCAGGGGGGTGACAGCCATGCATAAGAACATGGCGGACTGAAAAAATCCCTTACGTTAAATTAACCTCAAGTGAGACATCTGTATGTACTTCCTGTGGTTGCTGCATGCATGCATGTATTTCTAGCTATTTTGTAATGTAAACTGAAATCTCTACTAACGCAAGTTAGTTTGATAGTTTAAATTAACCTTATTCAAATTGCGATTTGATAGCCCAAATGAACCTTATTCAAATATTATAGTATTAATTTCCATACGGGTTTCCATTCAGTAATTTATCAGTTTAATTTTTCAATGAAGTACTGTATTTTGTATTCTGTGAAGGTACAGCAATGCGTGATCTTACACTGACAACTACAGCAATTCTTATGCATGCTATTTACCGGCTGCGAGGTCAATCTCGTACCCAGAGCAATGCCTGTGCGCGGGCTAGGATGGCATTAGCTCTGGGGAAATTGAACTTTTCCTGTGCTGTGATTGGTTTAACGTTTATCATTCGTGCATGCCGACAAAGAACCGGAACCCCTAAATTTAGGGGTTCCGGTTGTCAATTTCCCCAGAGCCAATGCCATCCTAGCCCGCGCACAGGCATTGCTCTGGATACGAGATTGCTGCGAGGTCCGTACGGAAAAAACAATTTTCTCGAGGTCTCGGAAGAAAGCCGAGGGACGTTTCTGAGGCCGAGGGAATATATTTTTTAGTACGGACCGACCTAAACTGTAAATAATGTGTTTATTTTTCTATTTGATGGTTCATGGTTAACGAAATTCCGATAAAATTCCAGTTGCGAAGTACATTTGAGATCAGTTGCGTTTGTTACTTTAGTGCAAATGTGGCTGACAAACTATTAAAACTACGAGCTGTGTTCTACCATAACTGCATCAGGCACTTGAAAAACTAACGAAACAATTACCTGAGCTTAAAGCTTCACTTGAGGTTTCATTTGGCCATACAAAGTTCGAGTTGTCTTCTACCATAGCTGTATCAGGCACTTGAAAAATGGATGAAACAATTATACATAGGGGATATAAGGCTGCGCGAATTATGATATAGACTTTGATTTCGCGTTGAGTTTGAGGTCTGCGTTGCTTGATCGCAAAAATCACATGATAGTTAGTCATTATATAAGATTCACTTTCTTCCTTGGCAACAAGCCGTAGTTTTAGGATACTGAATGAGTACCTTTCAGAAACCTGTACTATATGTACTTTAAGTTCTTTGTATGTTTGCATGGCGATAAAAAGAGAGAGAGTGGTGTTTCCACAAACAAAACTATTATATATGTACTTCATTTTGAAGTTTAAGAAAACCTTGAGTCTTAAGTCGTACCAGTTCAAGTACGCGGCAAAAATCATGTGAACTGTTTCCAAAGTTGGACAAACAGTGAAACATTCAAAAAAAAACTTCAGGATTTTCAAATGTTTCCTAATTTGCCTCTAGACTATTGCCTCTTAATAAACATCTATGCGATGGCACGTGTAGTTGACCAACTATTGCAAGAGCCGGAATAACCAGAGGCGAAACAAATGACAACTTAAGTTTGTTAAGGCCGGATTCCACGACGGCACAATTCTTCGTTAGAAATTGTGTCTGCGAAATACGGATGGTTGTACATGAGCGATTCTATTCAATTTTCCCACTTTTTCCGCTTTCGCAGTGACTAGAACTGCATGACTTCAGGCCTGATTCCACGGGTGCTTTTTCTCGGCGAAATATATCGCCTGTTTCTTTTGAATTGTGAGCAATCAAGTAGAAATAATTTATTCGAGTGGTCGCAATTCAAAAGAAACAGGCGAAATATTTCGCATTTCGCTGACAAAAAGCGCTCGTGGAATCAGGGCTTTCTACTCACTGGTGAAGCTTTTTTCTCGCGAATCCTAATTATCTTTATTGCGCATGCACCTAATTCATTTCGCCGAAGAAAGCGCCCGTGGAATCAGGCGCTAAGAGCCACGACAAACCATAGCGCACATGTCGTAAGTATGCCAGGCGTAGAAAAACTACATTCACGGAAACATAAAAATATTAAAAAGGATTACCTGCAACTGGCTCTCGCTTTTTTAACGAAGCGTTTCAGATTAAATTTTACATTAAATCAAAGCTCACAGAATGCAAAATAGCATACCTACATTATACATTTCGGAAATTCATTGTTGTATAGTAAAAAGTACTAAATTTTCAAATATTTTTGTCATTTTATACGAAAAAAATATGAAAATTTTTAAAATTTTAAAAATAACCGTGTACGCGCAACGCGAATTGATTTCCATACGGGTTTCCATTCAGTAATTTATCAGTTTACTATTCAATGAAGCACTGTATTTTGTATTCTGTGAAGGTACAGCAATAAAGGAATACCGAATGGTTTTCCGTGCAGGATTGCGTGATCCATGCACGAGGGATGCATGTCGCGAGACTTTCGGAAAGCGTAAAACACAAAGAAGCGTTTTGAAGTAATTTAAAACATTCGCAGTGTGTGTTTTATCAAAGCTAAAGATACTTGGCTTCGCCTCGTATCTTTATATCTGATAAAACACTGCTGCTCATGTTTTAAACAGTACTTAAAAAATACATTTCTACAAAAAATACATGTCAACTAAACATTTCAAAATTGGCAAAGTAAAAACGCCTTTAGTGTTAGCCACTTACCAGTACTGAGCCAAATTTTTACACTCTTTATGTCAAATACTTTGGACGAGCGTTTGTCAGACCGGCAAACTGTAAGGGGCATATCGTTGTAGAATCTCTGAAGGTCACTAAGCTTCCAAAAGTGGCGGTGCCCACAACGGTCTGAATGACACTGGATCTCATGATGACGAGAACATTTTCTTTCTTCTTTACCAAAACAGCTGGTACATTTCACTTCGAGGTCATAGCTGGTCATGCTGAATAGTTGATCTGGAGATTTAAGGTCGTCCAAGCACTTTTTCAAGGTGGCTAGGAGATGACTGGCAAACTTGAAATGGTTGCCATCCTGTTTAGGAAAAACGGCAACCTTAATGAACTCGTGGAGGTCCATTAAATAAACATGATACACGTCGCCGTCTATAATAAGCGGAAGCAACGAGTAGTTGCAATAGAAAGAAGGCGTGGCTTGTTGATTGGGGAAGCGCTTTTTCCACTCAGAAATTAACCTCACTTGAAGCTTCGTAAACAGGCCTATCGGTACAAGTTTGTGAGGAAATGTCACAAACAGCGATGGAACATTGCTAGCTTGCAACTCCTTTCCTGGTAACATAGCTGGGGCAACTGAAGGGACATAAAAAGCTGCCTTTCCCTCGTGCTGGCAAGAACAAATCAAATTAAACATTTGCATAAGCTCTTCTAAAAGTTCTGCGTCTTCCAGCGTCTGAAGATATTCTCGAAACAAAATGCCTTTCTGCTTGAACACATCAAGAGCGTGCCTGGACAATGCATCCAATTTGACAGGCATGGAGATCACTTTCGTAAAGCGATTCATTAGCCAGTGAGGATCCAATACAACCTTGCTGGATCCACTGTGGTGTACGACCACACCTTGGCGGTGTAGAAATTTGATAGCATGATCAAACTCCACGTCACAGGCCTCCGCTTCCCGCTTAGCTTCGTCAATTGGGATATACTTGCAATCTGGTGATAGCTTCTGGCTTAGAGCAACTTCAAAATCTAGCCACTTCACAGGCATTAAAATCTCCTGGTCAAGGACTGCATTCGAGAGGTCAAAAAGCTTTCTGCGAAGTTTTCGCACGTCGTCTCCATCGTCGCCTTCCAATGTATTGTCAATCAGGAAAAACCCTGGGACGACAATCTCGTATTTTCCTTCAGACAACACCTTCTTGATTCTATTTCGTAAGCTATGTATTTTCCTGTCGTTGCCTTTCACCTCATCACTGTGAGTTAAGGCTATTAAAACTGGTGGCACTTTAAAGTTCTCACCTTCTGCAGTGGTATGGTGACCATATTTATCAGGAAACTGTTGATCTTGGCATTCTCCTAAACCTTGCAGAAACTTCAACCATGATGTAAAATTATCTAAATTGGTATTAAGATGAGGATTGTTCATCTCTATTTCTTCCTCTTTATCACTTGCTTTAAACCTGGGAACGGCGGGTTTATCAAACTCCAGAGAAAGGTCGTGAACCAAAACATAAGGGCAATGCGGTTTCACAAAGCAGACATGGGTATCGTAATATATTGACTGTCCAGCAAAGTCAGTTACAAATACCCGAAGAACTTCTTTCTGGTCATGTTCAGTGGTCAAAATATTAGCCTGCGATTTGATTTCTGAAATTTCTTCACTTAATAATCTTCTTCTCTTCACTAGCTTCACTGGTTCTGGCGCATCCCCTTCAAAATACCCCTGAACTCCAGCATCAATGTCAAGGTCACTATCAAT